CTGCTTCTCCCTCTCCCACTCCCCCTGCTTGTGTTCCCTCTCTCGCTGTGTCTCTCTCTGTCAAATAAATAAATAAAATCTTTAAAAAAAAAAAAAAAGAAAAGAAAGGCTCATTGTGTATGCAAAGTATGGAAATGGAGAAAACAGCCTGGTTGTGCAACAGGTGTAAGGTGAATTCTACAGAGGGGGCTCCAGCAGGTGGGTTTTGGGGTGGTGGGGTTGGGGAGCCATCCTAGGGACATAGCCTTATGCTGTGAAAAGCCATGCTAGAGTTTGGTCAAGTCTCTTAGTGCAGGGGTTTTGAGGGAATTGTTTTGTACTAAGAGCTCTACAGTCTTCACCCCAGGACCTCCCAGGATACTCTGTTTCTACCAACATAAGGGTGGGTGGGCCCCATGCAGGGGTGTGAGTGGGCTTGGACAAATTCCATGGTCACCCCTCTCTAGCCAGATCGTTCCAGCCCTCTAGGAAACGTTTTTTGAGGTGCTGCCAACCCTGGAAGTGGGAAGCCAGTCCCAGGCACCTCTTCCAGGCCTCCCTGTCTGGTCCAGAAATGGACCCGGGAACATTTTCTAGAGGGGCATGTGATGACAGGAGTCCATGCAGGACTAGGGCCAGACTACTGACTGCTCCACAGATGTCTCTGGCTGGCCACTCCAGAGATCTGAAAAATATTTAAAAGGCACATTGGACCACCTAACCACACCAGGACTGTGGCCAAGACCATGGTATGACTGGGCCTCCTTGTCTATCCCAGGCTTATCTCTACTTCCAAATGGGACTAAGAAAAAATTTCAAGAGGCCTATCTGGTAGCCAGACCCCTCATAGGACTGTGTTTGAGTCCCGGCACCATCCCATGGCATCCCTACCCAGTGCCACAGACAGGACTCAGAAACATTTTCCACAGGCACATCAGGTGATAAGTACCCACGCTTGACCATCATCAGGACACTTCCACAAGGCTCTCTACCCACCCAAGCCAGGCTTTGTCACCAAAAAGAGCTTAAGAAATTGTTGGGTGGTACTTCCAATGACTGGCCCTACACAAGATCTCAATGAGCCTGGAGTGCAATTTCAGAGTCTATCTGACCTGCCTGTAGTGCTCCCTTCTCTGGTGAGGGACATGAAAATATGTGGGGGGCTGCATGTGGTAAGCAGCCCCACATGGGAAACTGTCAGACCTAGGCATTCCCTCTTTGGTTCTTACTGGCTCCCCATTTTGGAATGGGACTTAGGAATATGTGGGGAGTGCCTCATATGACTGGGTCCCATGCAGGGCCACAGCTGGGCCATAGGCACCCACTTAAGTCCTCTCTGGCCAGCTTGGATCAATCCCTGTTTGCAAGGGGCATCTGGCAACCATGGCCAGGACCAAGATGCCCTGCTGGGGCCCCCATGTCAGTCACAGGCTGAAGTCCACCTCAAGAGAGGGACATAAAAAAAGTTTCTGGTGGTACAACCTAGACCTCATGAGGCACCCTCTCTGGGCAGCCCTTACTGGCCCAGCCAGTGCCCACATCCTCCAGAGAGGGATAATCAGAGGCCATCCAATGACCACATAGGACCAGGGTGATCCTTAGTGCCCTCTCAGGCTTCCCTGGCAGGCTGTTTCCATCTCAGCCACTGGAAGTGGGTTGAGAAACATTTTTGGGAGGCACCTCTTTACTTTATAGGTACCAGCTCAAGCAGCTTTACAGGTTAACAGGGAGGCCCAAGAAGTCACTCTAGTTCTAGTGTGATCCCACTTGGGAGACTAGAAGCTGAAAGCACATTCTGAAAATGTTTATGCCTCCCTCCAAAGGGGGCAATCACCAGGGCAGGCCTGGGGGTCTTAGAAGGGTACCATGGGCCTGGCTGTGGCCCTGCCTGGGAACTGTTCTTTGGAGTTACCCCCAAAACATTTCTAAGTTTCTCTCTGGCATGGAAAACCCTGGGAAGGCCACCAAGTCCTTGAGAAGGAGCTTTGATGGGTCCTGGTATTAGGAGCTCTACCCAAAAAGTTTCTAACTCCCCCTCCAAAGACCAGGACCAGCCCGCTTAGTACAGGCAGGCCTGGGGAGTACACTCTGCTGGCCACAAGTCCCATATGAGTCCTGACCATTGGCTCTGTCTCTGCAAAACATTTCCAATTTCTTTTCCAGAGGTAGGCACTGCCTCAGGCTGGCCATGGATGAAGAGAAGGGCATTGCATCTCCTCCAAATTTTTAAGTCCCCTTCAGAAGCCAGTACAGACTTGAGTAGGCATGCAGGTCTGTAATAAGAATCCCCAGACTGGCATAGTCCCATGTGTGGCACATTTGACAGAAACACACTTTAAATATTTCTAAGACCCTTCAAGGAAGTGTGTGGGGGGAGTACTGGGACAGGGTGGACAAGTAGGGTGAGGATGGCATTTTGGGCCAGGCTGCAGTCATGCATGGAGCCCAGCCTTTGCATGCACTTCCAGAAAATGTATCTAAGTGCCATTCTGGAGGACAGCTCTGATCCAGGTCAGCAAGGGACAAGTGGCAGTGTGCCTGGCTTGTTTGCTGTCCTATCTTCATATGTACTTCCCAAAAATGTTTCCATGTCCACTACATTAGGGGTAACCAGCAAGGGCCAGCCTTAGAGGTCTACAGAAGGTATCTAGAGCCCTGTGGTATTTTGAATGGGGCTCAGTCATCCAGGGCACCTCTGAAAAATTTTTCCAACTCCCTTTCCAGAAAGGAGACATTGGCCCAGGACAATGAGAAAAGCCCAGGAGAGGGGCTCGGTCTTTAAGAGGTCCAAGTCAGGGGCGCCTGGGTGGCTCAGTTGTTAAGCGTCTGCCTTCGGCTCAGGTCACAATCCCAGGGTCCTGGGATCGAGCCCCACATCGGGCTCCCTGCTCCGCGGGAAGTCTGCTTCTCCCTCTCCCACTCCCCCTGCTTGTGTTCCCTCTCTCGCTGTGTCTCTGTCAAGTAAATAAATAAAGTCTTTAAAAAAAAAAAAGAGGTCCAAGTCACTGGGAGCAACCTGTGTAAAGTTTTCTAAGGCTCCCTCCAAGAGCCAAGACCAACTGTCTGGACAAGGAAATGGAGGCACATGCAAGTGTGTGTGCATACTTTGATTTTTAGAGATGTACGGTAAGCAATTGGATTATAGATTTGGGGTGCTAAGAAAAATGCAAACTTCTTACACAGATGTGAGAGTTATAAATATAGAGACGATAGGTGAAACTGGAGTAGAAAAGATTCCCCAGGAAGAGTAAAAATCCCCTTCCATAGAACCATTTCTAATACTAAGATTCTCTCCTTGTGAGATTTGTGCAGTCACCGCAGTTTATGTTTCAGGTAGTTGCTATGGTGTCTGAATGGCCCCTCCCAAATTTATATGTTGAAATCTTAATGACCAATGTTTTAGCAGGTTGGGCCTTTGGGAGGTGATCAGGTCATAAGGATGGACCCTTCATGAATGGGATTAGTGCCCTTATAAAAGAGGCCCCAGTGAGCTCCCTTGCCCCCTTCACCACGTTGAGGACACAACCATAAGTCAGCTCCAGGAAGAGGGCCCTCACCAACCCCATGCTGGCTTGAATTCCAGCCTCCAGAACTGTGAGAAATAAATTTCTGTTGTTTATAAGCACCTAGCTTGTGGTATTTTGTTTCAATAGCCTAAATGGACTGACAGTGGTGTATCAGCTATCTATTACTACAGTAATGCAATGTAATAAACGACATGAAAACCCAGCAGATCATTAAAAGAAAAAATAGAGGTGTATGTAACAGGTTTCTGGAATGCTTATACACAATATTGAACAGGAAGTCAGTTCAAAGGTACAGCTTTAATTAAGAAAAACAAAGACAATACTCCATCTTTGATCAACAAGGATTATAAAATCGCCTTTGGCTGCTCCCAATCACAGTGAAGCAGCGCTCAGCCTATCTGCCTCTGCCAGACAAGCCTCTTTGCTGACACCTGCTGTAGTGTGGACCATGTAGTGTGACCTGAGTAGACAAAGTGAAACTGAGAGCTCATTAGAGATCACCCCAGAAGGAGAAACTAAAGCTGGGATAAAAATGGACAACTAACTGGTCATGGTACCTGAAAAGGCAGGTGCAAATAGGTACACTGAATGAAAACGAACTGGCTGCTCTCAAAATATCGTAAGTTAAACCACCAACCAAGGTTAGCCAGAGATTATTATTATTAATTATATTATTGTTGTTGTTGTTATTAATAATCTAACGCTTAATTCTTTGAAGACGCTCCTAAACGTAGGGAGCCGAGACTGGAAAACGCAGCCCAGCCGGAACCTCCTACAAGGACCAGCACTGACACTCAACGCAGCAGAAGCGCGAACTCTCGCGACAGCGTCCTGAGCCTCTCGGAGGCGCAAAGCCTCGGGAGCGTGAACTCTCGCGAGAGCGGACACAACTTCGCGGAGGCGCGTTGCCTTGGGAGTTTCCGCAGAATGTCTCGGCCGGCGCTGCCTTGGGGCCACCTGGACCCGCAGCAGGAGCGTGACGTTCGCGAGCTCGTTCGCCATGTGGCGGGCCTTCAGGACGAGGCGGACCCCAACTTCCAGCTCGCCCTGCACTTTGTTTGGTCCAACTTCAGGTGTGGGGCGCGGCTCTCTGGCCGAAGCTAGGAACAGAAAGGGGTCAAGCGGTATCCGGGGCGCGCGGCCGGGTTTCCCCACCCCTAGCAAAGATCTCGCGCGCCCTGCTGCTCCTGCAGCAGCTTGGTGACCTAATGCCCCCTGGATCCCTGTCGCGTGTAAGACACGCATACTGAAATAGTGGGTTGTGGGTTGTTGAGGGTCGGCCTTATTCTTAGAAGCGCGCTTCTAGAAAACGGGTCTGTGTCTGTTCTGTTCCTTGTCCCACCCACTGCGCTTAGCACGGTACGCTGCAGATCATTTTTTGAATGGATAGGTAAGTGAAGTTTTAGAGCAGAATAATGGTCACACTCAACACTGTATTCTTACTGATTCCCTATCTCTTCTCGGGCCACTCCAGATTTCTCTTAGCTTGGTCTTTTTTAAAAATTTTTCCAAAACACACAGCATAATACACTGGATAACTTACATGTTGTTTACTGTTTGTCTCCTCCAACCCTATCTCCAGCTAGAATCTAAGTTCCACGAGGTTAGGGTTCTTGGTCTGTTTTGTTCGTTTCTTTTTTTTTTTTTTAAAGATTTTTTATTTATTTATTTGAGA